CCTCCCCTCCCTTCCCTTCCCTTTTGTTCCTCTTTCCTTCCTTTTTTTTTTTCTTTGTGAATTGATATAGGAAGGCCCATCCTATGGGCAGAACTATCCCTAGATGGGGGTAGGGTGCTAAACTATATAAGAAAGGAAGTTGAAGGTGAGCCTGAAAGCGAACCAGTAAGTAGAGTTCCTACGTGGTCCCAGCTTCAGTTCCTGCCCTAGTTTCTGCTTTGCTTTCTTCCCTCAGTGATGGAATATAACCTGCGAGGAGAAGTAAACCCTTTCAGCCAGATATCCAGCACAGCCACAGAAACCCAAGCTACAGAACCACTCTCTGTCCTGATAACAAAACAATGAAAATGTCTCTAGGCTTGCCCAGATGTCCTTAGGGTCTAAATCACCCAGACCAAGAAATACAGCTTAAACATGAGCCTTCATAGGGCTGCCTCTGCCTGGACCACAGCCCTTCACAGTACCATATACCTCTCTCACATTGCCTTTAAGTATATCCTTGATGGTGACGGACCCAGTCACTTGCTGACTTCTTTGTTGAAAATGCAACTCCACCCAAGCCTCTCGACCCTCCATCCTGTTCTTCTACCCCTGTTGTAATTCCCTGTGTGCTAACACCATCTAACTTGGTCTTCTTTTTCATTCGTTCTCTGTGGTCTCGAAGACGATAGCAATACAACCATGCAGAAACTCTATGTGCTTCTGTTTTTGGTTTTGAGACAGGTTTTTGCCTTGTAGTCTAGGTTGGCCCACGTCTGCTTTGCGCCCATTTGGACCTCAAACTTGAGATCCACTCCGGCAGGAACTGATGGAGTTCAAGCAAGTAGGGTAGAATTCTGAACCAGGAGGCACTGATAACGGAGTGAGGTCACTTTTAGAGGGGAAAAGAACATTTTAAGATGATACTATAGCTTCTATGGAAAACTGCATCTTCATGAAATAAAAGGCTCTAAAATAACTCAGATTTTGTAGGGGGAAGGGGGAACTGGTGAAGCCCTGAGCAGCATGGATACTTCAGACCTGAGAGGAGAAAAAACATTTCCCCTCCCCGCCTTCAAAGCTTAATCCTATGGCCCCTCAGGCATGTCTTCCCTAAGAGGAGGACCAGATGCATTTCCAGAGGCTGGACCCAAAGAGTGTGCTTGGTTCCCATTTCCCTAGAAATGTTTTCTCAGGGTACTTCCTTTAGGGAGTTTTCTTAGAAAGACATCAGTTCCTTAAATTATCCTGCTTTAATAATATGGAAAACTGCTTATTTTAAAAATGATCTGAGTGTGCTTTTTTTTTAATTTTCACAAATAGTGAAATTAGCTAGGAGAAAATAAAGTGTGTCTGTGTTTGCTTATGAAACCTATAGTTTTTTTCTTATATTTGTAAAAATGCTTATATAGAAACCCAAACTTCTAAAATAGATCTATTTGAGGTGACTAATTAAAATACAATGGCACTTTTAATTTCTTAAAAGGGGTTCTGTTTAACAAAGGACTCACACCATGGGGTCTTTGACTCTGTTTAAAATTTCCTAAGTATTTCATTAAGTTAGGAACCTGGGAGGATAGAAGTTAAGACTGATTACTAATCAACTGAAGATGAATCAAAAGGGAGGGCGAAACACAAAAACTCCACAGACATTAACAGTAAGACGTTGGAGTTACAAGAAGTCAAGTTTCCTGGTTTCAGAAACTTGTGAATTTACATGTGACACAATTTCATATTATCAGAGTCTTGTGATGACCTGAACCAATACTCCAGGGGCAAAATTTGGCTCTAGCACCTTCAACCTTCTTAAGAAAAATTTCCCCATTTTCCAGACTTGGTGGCCACACAGCTTTGGCACAGACTCTGTTCAGCAGATGCAACATGGGATGCTGAGTTAGGTTGGCATCTGAGATAAATAAATGATTAATAGTTCTAAATCTAGCATGGGACAAATATTGTAATATTTGGGACACAGTTATGTCACTATGAGACCGTGCTTTTCTCTTATTTTAAATTACTCTTGGCTCTTCCACAGAACCAGGGACGAGCCTTGGCGAAAAGCTTCTTGCTCATCATAAATCTGCACTCAAACCCACACATGTCCAACACAGAGGTAAGCTCTGTTGTGACCCACGGACTTGGGGTGACTGCAGCCAGTGCCAGTCAAGTGAGAGGTCTTGGTAGCACAGGATGCTGTAGGCAGAAGGCGTGTGGGAGATTCCTGTACCTTCCTTTCAATTCTGCTGTTATCTTACTTAAAACCACAAACAAACAAACAACAGCAGCAACAAAAGTGAGAGTGACGCATGCCTTTAACTGCAGCACCAGATGCAGGTGGCAGGTGGCATTCTGGGAGTTTGAGGCCAGTCAACCTGGTTTGCATAGTGAGTTCCAGGCCAGCCAGAGATACTTAGTGAAACTCTGTCTCAAAACAACAAAAGCAAAGAAAACAACGAAAGGCCTTACTGTCCCTGGGACACACCGGCTGAACTGAAGGTTTAGCTCAGGACTCCTCTTTTGATGGGGAGTCTCCCTTCCACAT